ACACACACACACACACACACACACACACACACAATAACAACAACAACAACAACGACAACAACGACAACAACAATAACAACAACAATAACAACAACTAGAACAACAGCAACAACTAAGAACTACTCGTATGACCTGTCTTAGGGTAACACTTAAGGACCAACTACGACCACCACCATACTGTCTAGATCTCTATCGCCAACTAGAAAGTCTGACCGGTCTTTTGGGCATCTGACCTGTCTTCGGGTATCCCATAAGGAACACATCATCGTCTCTGACGGTCATGTCTTTGAGTTGACGAAAAGTCACTTCCCCAAAGGGAGGGTACGTCTTGCCGTTGTATCGAAACAGTGTCAGTTTTCTCCCGTCCTCGTCTTCCTCGGTGTGGTTAGAGAGGAGATCTTCTAAGGTGCGTCCCAATACGTTCTGTTGGTGAGAGGGAATAGGAGGTAATGTGAGGGAAGGTGGTGTGAGGAAAGGTGATGTGAGGAGATACAACGTGATGTGAAAAAAGTGAGGTGAGGTGATGTGGGGTGTGGTTAGAGTAGAGAGGAGATCTTCCAAGGTGTGTTCCAACACCTTCTGGTGGTGAAAGATAATAGGATGTGATAAGAGGGGGGGGGGTGTGAGAAAGGTGATGTGGGGTGAGATATCGTGATGTGAAAGAAGTGAAGTCAGATCAGGTGTGATGGAGGTGAGATCTTTCATGGTACGATCCATCACTTTCTGGAGTGAGAGAATAGGAAGTGATGTGAGGGAACGTGATGTGGGGTGAGATATCGTGATATGAAAGAAGTGAGGTGAGGTGGGGTGTGATGGAGGTGAGAACTTCAACGGTACGTCCTACCCCTTTCTGGTGGGGAGAGAGAATAAGAAGTGATGTGAGGGAAGGTGATGTGGGGTGAGATATCGTGATGTGAAAGAAGTGAGGTGAGGTGGGGTGTGAAAGAGGTGAGATCTTCCAAGGTGCGTCCCAACACGTTCTGATGGTGAGAGAGAATAGGAGGTGATGTGAGGGAAGGTGACGTGGGGTGAGATATCGTGACCTGAAAGAAGAGAGGTGAGGTGAGGTGGAGTGTGATGAAGGTGAGATCTTCCAAGGTGCGTCCCAACACGTTCTGGAGGGGAGAGAGAATAGGATGTGATGTTAGGGAAGGTGATGTGGGGTGAGATATCATGATGTGAAAGAAGTGAGGTGAGGTGGGGTGTGATGGAAGTGAGATTTTCCAAAGTGCGTCCAAACACGTTCTGGTGGTGAGAGAGAATAGAAGGTGATGCAAGGAAAGATGATGAGAGTGAGAGTTACATGTATATGAGGGGAGGTGATGTGAGGTGAGGAGTAATGTGATAATATCTTCGTCGGTACGTCTCATCGCGTTCTGGTGGTGCGAGGGAAGGTGATATGAGGTGAGATATCGTGATATTGGGTAAGGTGAGGGGTGATGGAGGTGAGATCTTCAACGGTACGTCCCAGCACTTTCTGGTGGTGAGAGAGAATAAGAGGTGATGTGAAAGAAGGTGATGAGAGTGAGAATGATATGAATGGAGGTGATGTGAGGTGAGGTGTAATGTGATAAGATCTTCATCGGTACGTCCCATCACGTTCTGGCGGTGAGAAGAATAGTAGGTGGTGTGAGTGGAGGGGATGTGAGTGGAGGTGATCTGAGGCAGTAATATGTGAGGGACTATGGTATGGGATGAGACGGAATGAGATTTTTTTATGGTAGGACCCATCGCGTTTTGGTGGTGAGAGAGAATATGAGAGAGAGAGAGAGAGAGAGAGAGAGAGAGAGAGAG